ATCTAGTTTTGAAAAAAGATTTGTGTATAGGGTATGATAGTGGGAAAAATGAATGCTTCTTGTCATCTGGAGTCAATTTTAACTTGAATCATTAATATTTGGGGTCAGATTGCCTCTAGTCTTTTACAAGTGCTCAGGAGACAGGAGAACACAACTAGCCTTTCTTCCATCTTCCACGTAAAAGCCACAATTCATCACAGTCTCCGAAGGTGTCTATGCAACCACCAGCTTACAAGGCAGACTATGCAGTGGGACTATGCTCAAAAAGCCCCATCCCTGGATTCTGCAGCTTGCATGTGTGGTTGACACCCCAGAAAGATCACATTCTAATTTGATCTGACATATATATTCTTTGTAGGGTTGACTTAGAAATTTTATCTTGTGGCAATGTGACAAGTACCATTCCACAAGGCTTTATGCAGTATTAGCTGGACCAAATCTGTGTACCTCTGTGTCTGTGGTGAACACTAAATAGTACAAACTGGTGTAAGCCACTTGCACACTTTCTAATCACAGTAGCTGAGGACAAAATGTATCAAATGCTAAAATAGATTAACATTTGCTTTACAGGCCTACAATAAAATGCTAAGTACAGTAGTCTTGTGTTCAGACATTGCTTGTGACATATATCCTCCACCTGAAGTTGAGCAATTGCCCTTGTCTTCTCTGTCAAAAAGAGGGTATAGTTCCTAGAGGTTTGGTACTTCTCTCATGACAGTTTGCTGGAAGCCCTTTCCTGGGCAGAGACCTTATCAAGCCAGCCTGAGCATTAGGACATTCTACAAAGTGTTTTGGGCTTAAACCCCTCTGGAGAAGAGAGAAAAACTGATATTTGCTCACCTTCAGATCAGGTGTCTGAAAACTGAGAAGCTGGTGGACATAGGTTCTTGTCACTGCAGACTCGGATGATGTAACCCCAAATGTTTTTCCCAGGGAAATTTGTCTATTAGACCTCCCACTGAGATAGCCAACATGAAAATCTCTGCAAATTCAATATTTGATGAGAAGAAGAAAGGCAGAAGAGTTGGTCAGATCTAGCCACGAGGAAACTGAGTATTTTAAGAAAAAAAAAGAATTGCACAATTGTGGCAAAGATAAGGTTGTTGCTAGATGAACCTAATTTCACAAGCAATACGTGAAATAGATGAAGGTGATGGGAGCAATTAGCAAAGAGTCAGCATAGAATCCAGAAGAGAAAATAGGGTAGGAAACCACTGTAGCCAATTAGCTGGCTGAAAAATCAGGAGATTAATCTGAGTAAATAGTCAGCCAGTTCCCCTGGGCCACTACAACATTTAACAACAGTACCAGGTCTTCACCGATCATGGAAAGCATTCAGCAGAGAGTTACTCAATTGCCTAGTCCTGAACAATGGTCTACTGTTGATGAAATGATGATGAAAATGGAATTTTGTCCATTATGGAAAATAGGACAGTGAAAGACACAGAATGGTCTAATAAAGAGAGGAATGGACCAGCTATCAAAGCTTTTATTTTTATTTCCTCTTCTGTCTGCAGGGTGACAGCAGAGGACTCATGCTCTGCCTCAGTTTCCCCACAAGAAAAGGATACAGGAACCTTGCACTCTTAATCATAAGAATAATCCCCACTAATCTGGTTTGAAAAGTGAAAAAGTCTCTGAATAAACATAACAAAAAGATTCAATAAGGTTCTTGCAAACAAAACTAGTTCACAAACTCTTCTTTGTAGAAGATATTCTAAAAGTTATGGGAGCAAAGAGAATGGAAAAGCACAATCACACATGTAATTTAAGCTCTTTGAGGGCAGATGCAGGCAAATTACAGTAACATGGACCTCTCCACTTGCTATTTAATCTCCAAGTAATGCACGTTCTGCAGAGCAACCCCCTGCGCAGACTTAGGCAAATTCCAGGAACAGGTTTTAAGGCTGTCTTGAACATGCAGATGATTATTTACACTACTTCCCAATATCCTTAGCACGGAAGTGTGCAAGACTTCTCAAAAGTAGGTGGAGGTTTTTCTAGAGAACACTTCCCTCTAGCAATTGTTGGCAGAGGAACAGTCTGTGACACTGTTGCAAGGTGGAGGAAACGATAGCAACCGTAGCTATTATTTGCTGCTATTAACAACACAGCAGCGTGGAAAGATAATGGAAAGGCAATACCATCTCAGTGCCTTGCCTCCAAGTGCTTAGCCTGAAAATCCAGCCTGATATTCATATAGTGTTCTCAGCCAGTAATCTGCTAACTCCAGTGATTAAATAATTGTGCTTAAGATTATAACTGGTTTTTAGTTATACAGTTTAACACCAAGCATTGGAATTGACAAATGCCATTCCCCATTGAGCAAGGAACCAAACCTAAGCCTGGGGGCTGAGAGCTGGAAGAGCACCCAACAGCTGTGAAGGGGAGGTAATCCCAAAAGGTAGATTGGGATATTAACATCTGGGGAAGAAAAAAGGAGAAAAGGAAAAGAGGGTACTGTAGGGCCTAAAACACTTATTTTACACAGGCTATGCTGTTGTGCTTACTGTGTGGGCAGATCCTCCTAACAAATAGCTTCCAGCATGGCACAAGTCTTGCCTCCTAGGGGGAAAACAGGGAGAATTCTGTGATAAAATATTTCTTGTGAATGGCATAGTGGCTCCTAGGAGCTGAGGGGCAGGAGAGGATGCTGTGGAAGAGTTTCCCCTATGATAGAGGATGGTGGTAGTTTTCAATACTACATGTGATTTTGCTATGAGCTGAAGTGGCATCAGCTATGCAAAGCACCTGTGAACATGGAGCTAGCAAAGGAAGGAAGGCTCAGGAACTGACCCCTTGGACTCTGGAGGACCCAGACCTCAACAGACTGATGCATGAAGAAATAAGTTGCCTGTAGACCTAGTCTTCACTGAGGACTGTGAAATGTGACCATTTATGCATTACTACATTAATGTGATACTATATTTACCTGTGCAGTTGGCTTTTCTCTTTCCCTCTTTAATGAAGAGTTGTTACACTTGGGAATGGGGAAAATTAGCTCATGAGGTATTGAAAGTTTTTCCCAGGTTTCAGGCTTGAAGATGTTGTTTTATCAACAGCCCTTGATAAATTTGAACTAGTCCTTGTGACTGCCAAACAAGTCCTGACACAAGTTAGATTAAGAATAATTTTATGCAAGATTGGACCAGATGATCTCTAGAGATCTTTTCCAATCTAGACTTTTTTATGATGGTACAAATGGATGATTATTTTTTTTAATAGTTGCTTGACTTGTAGGCAGAGCCATGTGAATAACTGATCTTTTGGTTAGCTGGATGAACAGAAGGTCGAGGAGGGAGACACAGTGTTGGGAAACAAAATTTTCCAACTCTCAGCAAGATTTCCTTTCTCATTACAGAAACACTTAGCAACATCAAGGCATTGCATTCCAGGAGAAATGTCACAATTTCTAGTCCTTTCACAATGATTATATTCAGTTAGGCTTTTTTGAACAAAATGATACTTAGGATGAAAAATCAAAATGTTTAAAAACGCATTTCAGGCTTTTAAAAAAATGTGTTGTTTTCTTGAGGGAACTATTCATGAATTTCTGAAGAGGCAACTGAAAGCATGGATAGTCTCCAGCGAGCCTGACTTCATTTTTTGCCAGATAGACTATTTCATTAAAAAACAATCAATCCCTTTGTCTGCTTAATCACTGTTCTGACAGGCTGCAAAGGAAAGACGAAGAATTCTTGCTTCGTGTAGCGTTGCACAGAGTCACATGAAGGCTAAATGGAAAACCAAACCTAATTTTGCAAGAAGCCATTAGGAGCCGTGGGCTCTCCAGTCCCATAAGGATAAAATCTTAACACAACAAGGCCCAACATTTTAGAAGTGAATGCCTGAAGGTCTGCTCACCATGCTGCACTTCCCCATTTAAATACCTGGGCTGGCACACAAGAGTACTTAGCAAGCAGCATTGCAACTTGCAAGTTTCACAGAAAACATTGGGTGATCAGGGCAGTTCAAAGCCAGACCAGTTATTTTGGTACCTTGGAGGTCTCAGCCCTTGGATGCACATTTGCATATTCATGCATGCACACAGAAGTTAATGAGACCACACATTCCAATAAGGTAAATTTTTTAATGGGTATTTAGGGAAGATTTTGAGTGTGACTAGGAATTTTTTTTTAAGCTAAATCTGTGCCCATGATTTTCCTCACAGTTCTCAAGTTGCCTTTGAATTCTTTTTCTCACCTTCTTCCTCACTGGATTACTAAGTAAAAATAACCATTTTTCATAACATCCAGAAATGATAATAATTCAAAATGGAGTAATTAAATAATAAGTTAAAAGATATCAAACCTCTGCAAAAGGAAAACTGACATCAAATTAATATTCTTATAGTTTGGATAAACCAAAATAATAAACGGAAATTGCTTCCTGAAGCAGCAACTCTTTTGGATGCTGCATCAAAACTGAGCGGAAAAGCCAGGTTTGCCCCCCTGGACAAGCTGAATGAACAGGACCCTGCTCCAAGCATCTGAGCAAAACTGGATGAAAAAAAATAATGAAAGATGAAGCAGAGGCAAGATGCCGATTGACTGAGGGCGTATGGGAGACCTAAGGACAACAATTAATCATGGATCTGTAAGCTGTTTAAAACTACTCAGTGCTCAGGAGCCAGTGAGGGAGCAGCATCTGTGTGCTCAGACTGGCTGCAGTTCCTCAAAAACGCAACTCAGTCCAAATTAGGGGGAAGCACTGCCATGAGCACTGGTTCTCTGCACTCCCTCCCACTGGCAGAGAGCCCTGTACAACCTGCACCCCACCACAGGGAGTCATTTGAGTGTGGAGACAAAGCCTGGGTCTCTAAATATTTAGACAATCCACGTTTTTGGCAGCATGTTGGATTTCCTACCCAGGGTTTGCACTGACGCCTGCTTGGACATGTCAGGATGGGAACGCCCAGCACAGGCCACAGAGTGTGCAGGTTGGATGGGGAACACAACCACTGTCATTGCGTTTGAGGCTAATCAGGTTTGATATCTCACCTCTTGGTTCAGCATGGGCTTGTAGCCCGAGTTTTTGTTGGTGAGCTGCAAGGGTGCTATCTGGCTTGTCATGTCTAATAACTTTCTCTTCTGAAGGCTGATATGCTGAAAGATCTGTGCTGCTGATGTTAAAAGCTGGATTTTCAATGCCTTCTGTTGCTGCTCTCTCTTCTTTTACTACAGAAAACAAGGAGGTCAGAAGAGCACATTATAGCAAAGTGTATTTCAATGACAAGCAGAAAATTCCTTCTAGTAATTCCTTAGCTGAAAGACTCAAGTGTATCGTCCTCAAATGTCGCCAAAACAGAATTAGGTTAAAATTAACTCAAAAAAAAAAAAAATAAATGATTAAAATAATTACAAATTGCACCCTGACAAGCAAGAGCAAAATTTCGCCCACAGCCATTTGTCTGTAATTAGTTAATTAATCCTTACACAAATTATGAGCAATAACTCATCAAGCAAGGCTCACCCATCAGAAATTCAGCCGACTTGGATTTCTTCTGCTTAGTTTGCTTCAGAGCCTTCTGCTGGAACTTCTGGAGGGAAATTGTTAAATGAATAAATTAGCTAAAGAACGAAGATCATCCTTTATGATCCACAACTAACACAGTATTTTAAATATGGGATGGCACTGAAATGTCATTTAATTTAAATCTCTGCTAAAGGGGTCAAACACTAATTGAACAACAGAAGTGGAAGAATTAAATAAAATAGAAGAAAAGTTAAAACAAATGCCAAATGAAGGTCACATTAAAATACTTTGTTTTTCCCCAATTTTAATTAATGCAAAGAAACCTCAACAAATGAAGAACATTATAAGACTTGTCTTTCAGTATGCATTCAAAAGCAACTGCTTTATTTCACTTGCAGAATGGCAGCATTTCATTTAGAAAAGTTTGGTTATGTAGCATATTTATAGACAGACTTCCCTGACATTCCCCGTTCTCTTATTTTCTAAGTCCACTTACGTAACAAGTTTATTTTTTCATCACAGAGCAGCTAAAAATGAATGAGCTCTACCCTTTAGTACAACGCAATAGAATAAAAATAACACCAAAACAATTTTAAATGAGGTGTCACAAAAAACTGATCATGTTCCAGGGGAGAGAGGAAGCAAGACTCATTACAACAATGAAAAGTTCATTTAATATTAGAGAGATGCAATGACAGTGAAAATAAACAGCAGGAGATTTGGGGGATCGGAACTGTGAAAAGTTTTACAGTAATTCCCATGGGGAAGCAAGGCTCAAAAAATATATGGTCACATTACCCTAAGGAAGGCCCAGGTACCAAGCACTGGCTTTGTAGAATACCTTGAGCAGCACTGGGCAAGCATCACACGTGGTCTCATACATGGCTACAGACCCCTATCGCAGATGCTGACAATCAAAACAGGCAAAGATTATCAAACCAAAGCACATCTGGGAGTATTCATCAAAGCCAAAACCAAAGCAAGAAAACAGTTCAGACCCATTTATTTTAGAACATCACATGGCAGTTTCCAAAACCAGCATTATTTTTTCAAGCCAGTTGCTTAATTGTCCAGTGATAAAGACCACTCCTGGCAACATAGCTCCTGGAAACTGTCAATAAAAAAGGATTAATTACAAGAATAATTGAAAAATTGCATTTTTACAGCATCCATCTTTCCCATTTGATTGTGGGTGTCAATTTCCAGTAGAAAAACAGTGCTTGCAGCAGACACAATCAATAAATCTGTCAAAAATAACTGGACCATACCACTGACAGATTAATATAGATATTAATATTTTCATTGTTATACATGTATATATGCACACGCACATATATGTTATTTTGGAAACATATTCTTCTTCTAAATTCTAAATTAAGACTTCCTCTAAATTAAGACTAATACCCTACTAAAAAGCAAATGTGTGAAAACGACCAGACACATTCTGAAAACTACAATAAATAAATACAATAAGAGAAATAATTCCTACAAACCACATGCAGAACAACTGAAATTAATGATAATTTTGACAAGAGTTCAATAGGTTCAGAAATGTACCCTACTGCTTCTGATTTTTTCACAACTGAAAAATCATTCAAAAATACATATTCATTCAGTTAGTATCTTTAAAATTATACCTATTTTGCAATATTAAAGCATTGGTGCATTCCTGCATGCCATAAAATTTTAATTGAGTCACTTTTAAAGATTCCAGAGTATTCGTAACACTGCAGTGTGATAATTATCCTTATTATGCTGTGAAGAATCATCACAAAAAACCTTAAACTTCATGTTAACAGCTAAAGAAAACAACACCAAGACAAAAATTCTGGGACAAATTTTCAATGATATAAAACAGTACACATCTGTAACTTTGATGGGATTAAGATGATCTGTATTACATTCCATGTATTCTTTTTCCATGTTAGATTTCCCTAGCAAAATTAATTGCACACTATTTTGACTATAGTCAATTTTCAACTGTTTAAGTCTGTAAAATGCACAAGCTCCTTTCACAGTAAAAAGAAGAAAAAAAATATATTCTTCCTCCCCACATATAATACAGATGCGTAGTGGGGTTGGATGTTTTGGAATGGGTTTGTGTGCGTGTGAGTTTTGGGCATTTTATTGTTCAGGGTTTTGTTTTGGCATTTTAGTTTGTTTGTTTGGGAGGGGGAAGGTTGTTTGGGTATTGGATTTTGGGGGATTTTTTTTTACTATTCAATACAGTTAACACCAAATTTTGTTTTTTCAGTGATGCAACTGACTACATTCACTTCAGTCAAATGCAAACTAATATTTTTAAGTAGTTGGTGTAACAGGCTTGTGATCCCTACTTACTACAAAGAGATGATAGATACCCTTGTCCCTTAATGCAATCAGGTTTTGAAAACGTATTTTTCATGAGTTTGTGTTTTAGAATGAAAGCAATACCTGGTTTTCAACAACAGAGGGGAATTCTTCCAGGGTTACTTCTCAACATAACTGAATAACAGAGTATTTGAGTGGTGGCCTTTGTGTAATCAACACATGTTCTTGTCACTTTGTGCTTCAGAGGAAATTAGAAGACATTTTCCTTTCATACCTATTTCCAGCCAATTTCCTCATCCTTCTCTCTTTTACACGTGAGCAATTTTAAGTAGTGTAAATAACATTCTTTCCCCCCTTTTTTTTAGGTTTCCTTCCCCAGCCCCCTACCATTATGATACTTTGTCTTCTCAACAGAGAATAGGCAGGAAATTATCCAGTGGTATTTTATAATCGTTTTATCATTAGTCACTACTAGTTAGTTTATGTATTTATGCAAATTTATGTCAAAAGCAAATGTTTTTTAATCAGTTCACACATATCTGCAAAACTTAGGTTTCCAATAGCGAATTAAATAAACTCTTTCAGTGACCACTTGCTCTTTGCAGGCAAAGTCCAGTTATGTGAGCATACCTAGACAAATGCACATGAACACACATCCATACAGAAAGTCTCCATCTAATTATAGAATATTATCCGAAAATAAACATAAAAAAAAGTATTCCTAGAAAAAAAAAAAAGGAGAAGTTTCACAACTTGAGGCCAGAGCCTCAAGAGATAATAAGGTTATGCCGGTTTACACCTCAGGTGGAGGGGGAACAACTTGCAACCACAAACCAAACATATCAGACCTGTCCATTCACAACTAGCACATAGAAAGGCGACGTCCTTTGCTTGCAAAGTCAAGTTTAAAAGGTGATGTTGCTGCTGACAGCAATTCATCCTATCTCAAATCTCTATCACAGTTGCTGAAAAATAAAAAGTCTTGCCTTTTAAGCATTTTTTTACTGTCTTTTTATCTTGAGTGTGGTGCATTATAGCAAAGACAAGGGGAGTTAGGAGTGTCCGAGCACAGCGCAGACTAGTAACCATGTCATTCAAAAAGTGACCTAAATTGTTAAATGCTTTTTTTTGCATACCATCGTCATTAAAATGCACCGCCTGCTTTCTGATACTGACTGAAACAAAGGAAAATCGGGAGTACCAGAACCTGCAGCACTCACATCTGCAAGAGAGCAGCGAGCACCGCAACAGTGGCAGCAGCAGCAGCAATGGCGAGGGAAAAAACCCTCATTTATAACCAGTGACAACTAAAACCTATGAAGTTTTTAAAAGAATGTGATTGTTGTCAAAAGGAATTGGGTACAACAATACTGCGTTCAGCTCTGGTTCCACTCAAAGCTGTGGCTGAGGGGCTCTGGGAAAGCTGCTGGAAGGCTGGTGGGCACAGACCAGCAAGAAAGTGAATTTTGCATACTGTACGGATCATCGCTCAGTTCAGGGCAGTCATATTGAATCTGTGATCAACCAATTGTGCTTCATGAAACCGTCAGCCCTCATTTATGTCTAGCTGTTTTCTTCTGTCCTGCTGTAAACAAGCTCTGCTCTGAGCTGTCTCCCTACCCTTATCTGCTTACGAAGATCACACAGACAGACCTCATCAGCAGCCTTAGAGTTAAAGTTAAAGTTACTGCTTCCAGACAGCAGTCCCCATGCAAGCTGGAAGTCAAAAAGAAGAGCAACTTTGGAATGACAGAGTTTTAGTTCCTTTTAGGAAATGCATACCTTAGATTCATACACATACTGGCATGTTATGTCTCTTTCATGAAATTAAATTAGGTGTTCCTAATATGAACAACTGTTTCTAACATCAGCAAACTAGCTCAGCAGATTCATCCATGCTTTTGTTTGTAGGTTGGTTGTCTTGCTGTTGGTTGTTGGGGGGTTTTTGGTGGGGTTTTTTTTGGTTGGTTTGAGGAGTTTTTTTTGTTTTGTTTTTTTTTCCTTTGAGGCCTTGTTTGAACACAACCAAAACACAAGTATCTGGAAATATTGTCAATCTGGTAGGGCTCCAAGAACCTAATAATTCCTGAAATGCTCTAAGGAGTATAATGATGGTAAACAGGAACAGGTATGTTGGCTTCTGTTCTCATTCACTTCAGTGAGAGCATTAGCCTTTCAACATAAAGCAGAACACAGTTTTCAAAGAATGATCCTCTTGAATAAAAAGGGATGGAGCCTTACTAAACACACATTCCTCTGTGAATACACTCACACACACACAAATGCGTTAGTTGGTATTTACAGCATTTAATTCTTGCAACCAGCTGCTAAGTCCCTGTTAAGTCTTTCCTTTATGCAGCTGGAGCTGAAACCTCTTCCCTTCTCCTAGACTATTACTTTGTCTATTTAAGGGATGGCAGCCAAAGAGAAACAGCTTGTAATTTGCACCTGTCAGCTTTAAGCACTCCATGTTAGATTTTGCAGAGAGCAAACTCTTCATTGCTAAAGAGAATGACACTTCTTTGGGGTTAAAAATGGTTTTTTAGCTGACTCTGCAGCAATTAATAAATAAACAAATAAACCCCCACTTTGTTTAAGCCTATTCTAGCTAGACAATGAGGCAAAAGGAAAAACCTTGTTGTAAAAGAGCACCTCAGTGTGTAGGTAGAAGATGTAACCCCATGTGTCTAGTCTAATATAATACCAGGCACAGCTAAACATGACTGAACCTGTACACTGCCCACACAGGAGCACATGGGAGAGCTTTGGCCTCTTCCCCTATAAAATTCAGAATTGTTTCGGAAAACAATCAGGTGCAGAGAGTCCTTCTGAATTTCTACAAACCGGGGTGCCTTTAGAGGACTCACGGTAAGCTTTGCTATCTAGAGGGTCAGACCTGTGAGAAAATTATTTTCATATAACTAAAAAGAAATATAAGCTCCACTCCTGATCCAGAGGTGTGCAAGCATTGCCACGCAGAGTCCCACTAGCTGGAGTGTAAAGCAGTGAAGGTGTACATCAAGCAAGTAACCCACGTATGATCTTTCAGTCATACACAAACTATCTTAGCATGTTTGCTTCTTGCTAGAAAACAAGTGCTTTCAGTCAACTGGAGTATCATTTACAATTGCATTTAAAGAAACAACAATCTCACTGGTGTATTCATTTAGTTACTGAGAAGTAGGCTTTTCATTGCTTGCTCTTAAAATAGAAAAGCCCTCAAAAAACTCAAGCTGCAGAGCTGATGACAAGAACAAAAATGCCAGGGGTGAAAAAAAACCTAGAAGGGAAATAAAGTAAAGCATACAATTTATTAAAGAAAACATTGGTGCTGCATTTTGATTTCATAAATTGTCCCCATTTGTACTTCCTGTTTAAACAATAACTAACATGATGATGGGTTAAATGAAGTTGAGATTGTCACAAACATGGCCTCACTAGTAATTAATGTAGTTTAATATGGTTGTTGGCACACATCTCACATGACAGATAATGTTCCAACATGTCACTGATAGGACCTTTCAGCACAGCTTTAGGAGATCTACCAGGCATTGCCGAGGTTGGTTGGGTCAAAGGGTTGAACCATGTGTAATTCAGAACAGAAGAGGTCCCACGGTCACTCCACAAAAACAATTACACTACTTATTTCACTCCATCCCTTGCCCGAAATTCACAAGCCTCACAGTTTCAGCGCAGTCAATCTCACTCTGCCCTGGGGCTATGAGCCACATGAAAATATGTGGTGCTGTGTTTATAAATCTAATCAAAAATAGAAACAGTAGACAAGCACAATGAGGTCCTACTATGGATCATGGGAATTCTCTAAATTCTGAAGGCACTTTTGTTTAACTTCTCTGGGCCTTCTCCTACCATTACATTGTCTGGTACTCTCGTTAATCATCCCCTTGACTTGTCAATGATATAAAGGAGCCTATACGTCTGCTAACTTCCCTCCCATCACACTACAAATAATATTAAGAAATAGCAATGGTAGGAATAGTCCCTTTAACTTTTCCTTTTCAAAGCATGGTTTTTCTTCACTTACCTCTTTCTCCATGCCAGTCTGCCCTTTCTCAGACCTGCAGCAAAAAATGCTTCCTCCTGTAACAAAGGAAAGGCAGCATATCTGAATTTTCAGTCTGCACAGTTATTAATACCACTTGGTTTAACAGACAGACTAGCAGAGCACCAGCCTAGAAACCTGCCAGGATAGGGGGCGGAGGGGGGTCTTTCCTGATGCTGTCCCCACTCTGACTTTGCCAAAAAGCAGAGGGAGGATATAGATCTGTTTCATCACTTTATCTTTTTGAAAACAAATTTGCATCAGATCATGAAAAAAAAAGCTAACAAATATAAACAAAAAAACCACATAATTTAAGCTCATGTGAAGAACTGCCAACAAAAACAAGGTTTTGAGTGGAAGTAGCCCAGAAGTAGATAATTCCTACCCCCAGACAGTAAGTACTAAAATGACTCAGAGTTTGCTGTGGCATACACCTTATCTGAAGACTACAGTACCAAAGCTGTCAGACTCAGGAAGGCTTCTGTGATCTGGTATTTCTGTGGGTCCCATTTGTGCCTCATTCCTTGTGCTGGGATTTCCATTAAAAGGAAGAAAATTGTCCTCTACTTTGAGGTTATAATTAGGCAAACACACAATAACTTTACAAGTTATATATCATATCAGCAAAAATGCTCCAATTTTATACCAGCTACTTTTTTCTCTATATGGGAATAAAATTTATTCATTCAAAATGGCTGGACAGGTTGCCCCTGCATTCACTGAAATCAATGGCAACTCAGTCTAACTCTGCACTTGCAGCACCTGAATCACAATGAATAACAAGCTTCTTCCTTTGTCAACTTTTCCCTTATGCATTTACACAAACATACATTCAGATTATTTTGCTGAGCCTGAAAAAGAAACAAGACTTTGAATAATTAAAAATATCCCTTCAGAGTCACTCAGAAGCTCTAGCTGACCTTCTGGGTCAGAAGATGCCCTGTACAAAGTACATGTTTGGCCTCAGTTGAGGAAACCCTCTCTCCTGAGGGCACTCAGCAAAGAAGTGCCTAATTCTGAGTACGCGCTTAAATTTCATTGAAATCAATACAATGGACAGTGGACAGGGCCACAAATACTCTATGGAAAAAGGCTGCATTGTCGCTCTAGCTGCTCAGTAATGAATGAAGATCTGAGCTTTTGCTGATGCTGAGAGCCTGCTGACCTTTGCCATCACTCCTGGATTTTGGTGCCCTTCTTGGGGTGACAAGGCCATTGAAGCAATGCTGGGGACTGCAATTCCAGTAGCTCCCACTCTTCCTACAGCCAGCCCTGCCCAAACAGCCCCTGCACCATAGCCCATGTCTGTCACAGAAAACATGCTCTCTGCTCCGTGGCACTATGTGATATTGAAAATAAAGCCCCAGCAAGACCATGCAGGTAGGTTCAGGTCATGTAACTAGTCATTGTGCCTCTGAAAGCAACCCCAGAGTCCCAATTCCAAAATCTGGGATGAGTTTCCAGGACAAGGTAGTATCTGCATTACTTTTCCAGCTACTAGAACTGTACATCCACTGAATGCAACAGGTAACTAATTTCAAGCCCAATGGCATGGCATATTCCTTGTTATGACTCAAACAAGAGCAGCAAAAAAGAACCACCTGTATGAATCAAAGGCAATAAAAGCTTGAAGGGGCTCCTTCCCTTTTCAAAGCTGTCAGCAGAAGAGAATTGATCAAGACATAAGCTGTAAATTCAATGTTTTCATCCATGGTCAACATCTGCTCGTTGGAGAGGAGACAAAGATGCAGCAACAAGGACTTCCAAAGCCGTAATAGTCAAAGGAATCTAAACATTAATGGAAAGACTTGGAGTTTCATCTTAAAGAATGTGGTTGACCAAATAAGGACAGCACAGACAAAGATCACAAAATCACAGAACCAATTAGATTAGAAAAGACCTCTGAGATCATCGAGTAAGATAGATAAACGAGTTCAGAGGAGATATTAATAACATTAGTGCTTAAACAGTGATTTTCTTAGAGTTTGGGAACTTCCTACTATTTGGGTTTTCTGTTAGTTTGCTTGGGTGGGGGACACTTTGGTGTGTTTTTTAAATGAAGGTGCTAGACATCGTTTTTTCTTTATTCTTTATAATACCAAACAGGCAATACACTCAACACTGCATTAACTGATGCTGACTGTGGCCTTGCTTAACCTCACCAGCCTATTTTCTTTAGCTGGATAACAGCTGAATCATCAGCAGTAAACTAGCTTACAGTCCTGAAAGAGTACAGCAGAAACAGAGCACACGACTTTTCCATCAATCAAAACACAACATAAAAGATATTTGAGATCCCAGCAGATATTTTATTTGATACCCAGTTGATGTGTTTTGCATGAATAAGGGATGGACTTCAGTTACTTTTAGGTACATTTGTAGTAAAATGGCAAAGTAAAACTATTACTTAGATGTTCTTAAATTGGATATCTTCACCTTTTTTTTTATTTTTTTCTTTTTGCCCAATGTCCTGGTTAGAACGGCTGGGACCAATTCATCACTGGATGGGTGTAACACAAAACTGCATATTCTTATGCTTTATTTCTTACTAGAGGAAAAACTAAGGATGCTAGATTAAGTTGACAAGATATATTAATAACTTTCTGTAGTGAAAGTAATCTATTTTTAATGCAAAAATGGAGGAATTGGAGAGCTGAACAAAAATAACTCTTAGCACCACAAAACTCCATTAAGCTACCACCACCAGTCCCACATCCAGAAGAGACCAAAACAACACACCTTTCCACTGGAGCATGCTCAAGTGCATCTTTCTCACAGTAGTGGCTCTTTTATGCTGTATCAGCTACTAGAAATGACTTGGACTGCACGAAGAGAAAGTATACAATAAGGGTCTTGCAAATGTAGCTGTAAAATATACTGTTTTCACCACGCTGGTATGCAGAGGGGAAAAACTGTCCTGTTTGTAAACATGTACCCAGCATCTCCTTAAAGTACACCCAAATGCACAGGCACATTATCACTGGCCAAGGAAAGCAATGCCAGGCACAGCTAAAGTGTTGGTGATTGCTGGCAGAGGAATACCAGGTTCATAGCAGGAGTAGCAAAGCAACAGTCTGTCACCATGGTGGCTGTCTTCACTCCTTTCTCACCTTCACCTGGTACACAATTTATCACATGATAAGAAGCAGTGCTGTGGGATCTCTGTGCTACGATATCAGCAGAAACCACTGTGTAAATGATAACCCTAACAACCTACTTGTAATTCCCTTTGGACTCTCTCATAAATACCAGGTAGCCAGCACTGGTCTTTAAGAAGTATTTCTTCAGGGGAAAATTGCACCTCCAGCACAGAGAATCCATCAGTCACTTAAATTCAGCAGGACTGACCTTTGAAGCCACAAGCACTGTGCTTATTCTTCTTTCATCATCAATTTTGGGAGCAGGTCCTTCAAAGTAACCTCAGATCCATTCTATACTTTCTCTTTTTTATTTTTTTTTAAATTTAAGAAGTAAGAAGCTTACTGCAAATATGTCTTTATAAAGATCATTAACACACTCAAAATTAAGATCACATTCAATTACTTGATAGGTTGTGAAGTTCCTGGCCTTTTTCTGTGTGCCTGAAAAAATAGATAGATACATGATTTTTCTATTGATAAACCTCAGGAGGCAGCTGAGCATCCTCACCTGCTCACTCACCCTCTTTTCCAGTGGAATAGGGGAGAGAATCAGTAGGGTAAAACTGCAAAAACTCAGATACAGACAGTTTGGAATCATAAAATGCTTTGAGTTGGAAGGATCTTTAAAGATCCTCTAGTCTCAATCCCCCTGCCATAGGCAGGGACACTTTTCCTAGACCAGGTTGCTCAGAGCCCCATCCAACCTGGCCTTGAACACTTGCAGGGATGGGGGATCCACAGCTTCTTTGGGCAACCTGTTTCAGTGTCTCACCATCCTCACAGCAAAGAATTTCTTTTTAATATCTAATCTAAACCTACTCTCCTTCAGTTAGAAGCCATTCCTCCTTGTCCTGTCACTACATGCCCTTGTAAATAGTCTCTCTCCATCTTTCTTCTAGAGTCCCTTCAGGTACTGGAAAGTTGCACATAGAACACCCTGAAGCCTCCTCTTTTCCAGGCTGAACAAACTCAATTCTCTCAGCCTTTCCTCATAGGAGAGGTGCTCCATTGCTCTAATCATCTTGGTGACCCTCCTCTGGATTTGATCCAACAGGCCAATGTCCTTCCTGTGCTGAGGGCTCCAGAGCTGGATGCAGGACTCCAGGTGGGGTCTTATGAGAGCAGAATAGAGGGGTAGAATCACTTCCAAGTACCTGCTGGTCATGCCTCTTTCGATGCAGCCCAAGATACAGTCGGCATCCTGGGCTGCCAGAATTTATTTTTTTAAAGAAGGAACAAAAAAAAAAAGCAGGAGGGTGGGAGGTGGGGAAGGAGAGAGAGTGGAATGGAACCACAAAAAAAAGTGATGCAAAAGAAAACAATTGCTCACCACCAACTGACTGATGTCCAGCCAGTCCCCAAGTGGCTTTCACCCACACCCCTCACTTCAGTTTTATTGCTGGACATGACACCATATTGTTATGGAATATTCCTTTGGCCAGCTGGGGTCAGCTGTCCCAACTCTTTCCCCCCAACTTCTTGCATAGCCCCAGCCCACTCACTGATGGGGTGGTGTGAGAAGCAGAGAAGGTCTTGACGCTCTGTAAGCACTGCTCAGCAATAGATAAAACATCTCAGTGTTATCAACACTCCTATCACAAACCCAAAATATAGCCCCATAACAGTTGCTATAAAGAAATTTAACCTCAGCCAAAACCAGTACATCACAGCATGCAGGCAATTCCTGTGGAAGTTGCAAATACCAAATTTTAGTTTCTGTGCCACCATTCCAATATTCCCATTTCCTACCAAATGGAAAGCAGCACACACTTCAGAGTCTGGCTTCAGAGCTGCTTATGGATGAACATCTCCTGATGAAGCCACAGGGCTTATGTTTGAGAGTATTTAAATTTTTAGTTATCGCCACCTGACAGTACTGGGAGAGGTGAAAAATCAGC